ATATTTTTCTTGTATGCCATTTAAATAATTGCACAAATACACGGAGGGAAATTGATTAAATAAAAAGACTACATGTACACAGTTACAGGGGAGGTAATATATATCAATGACATTGTGTCTAATTAAGCTGTCAAAGAAGGAGAATTGCTATCTACTTATCATAATGATTATTATATTATCATGTACATACAACATTCAAGTTTATCCCATTGAAGGCTTGGTCATAAACGTAACACTGAGTGCATTAACTGAGAACGAACAGCAGAAAGACTGTGGATTTAGCTTAGAGCTATTTTCCTAATGCTTGTAGATTAAGACTTAGGTTGACTTGCTTGCTTTGTTTGTTTAAATGTTTGCTCAAGCATTGTAATTAAGATTGACATGTACAATCAATAGATAGGATATAATGTATACAAGCTGAAGCCCCGCCTATCTATTCATTGCAGGTGTCAATCTTAATTACAATGCTTGAGCCAACGTTTATACAAGCAAAGCAAGCAAGCAAACCAAACATTTAAACTACAAGCATTAGGAAATCAGCTTTAATAAGTGATCGAAACTGAGACTCACATATTAGCCTGTCTGAGAACATTTTGTTTTGTGAACTTTTGACAACAATTTCTTTCTTATTTATGGACAGTAAACTTGTTTGTGTTGAATCATAATAGAAAAATTGGTCAAATACATTGTTCAGCTGTAGAGTCAGTGTTTTCGTATATTCAAAAGGTGTAATTTCATTTATAAGTAGATCTCTAAATATAATCAACAGTGAGACAAAGTCGATGGACAATTTGCTATTTACAAGAACATGAAAATTTGAACATGTTTAATATTATTTTAGCCTATTAAGGTGACTTATAAGTCCGTTGAGCCGGGTGTATTCATAAAAAATTCTTGTATATTATATCTTTATGATTTGTATATATTTGCACATGTCACTATGATAAATAGTTTACTTCTTTATTTACTTAACTTAAGATTTCGATTGTACAAATTTATAACAAAAAAGAAACAAACAAAAAAACCAGAAAAGAGGGATACATTTTAATGATCATCAACAGTTTTAGTTATCTCTAGATTTAGATATGTTGGACTAGAAAACTGTTGCTATAATTCAGAACAAAAAATAAAAAGGGGGAAGGCAATCAGTGCCTGATATATGTGATAAATATACACATATAAAATCAAAAATTATCTATAAGGAAACACGATAGAACATAAAAGAAAGAAAACAACTACTTTTCCTTAATCATACGCTCTCTGACAGGCGCGTAGCTACATATAGCTAGCTGGTCGTCGGTTCTCTCCGGGCATTCTGGCTTCCCCATCAATAAAAACTAGCGGCCACAATATAGCCAATAATAATGAAAGTGGTGAAAGTGGCGTTAAACATCAATCAATCAATCAACACTTGCCATTGATAAGCCAGTGTCCTCATACCAACTCATCATACCCATATAAGGGTCTGGATGGGGTTTACAGAACAGATAATAATGTGCAAAAAGTGCAGAATAAAGGACAAATAAATAAAGAAAAGAAATAAAATGGCAAAAAAAGTAAAAAAAAAAAAAAAAAAAAATGAGAATAATGGGGCGTTAAGGTGGTACCCAACACCTTGACTAATATTAATTTGGCTCGTTTAATTTTCACAAAATTTTGACAAAATGTTTACTTTGACCCTGAAATTCTTGTGTAATAATATCTACTAAGTATTAGATATCAAAAGGTATGCAAACAATAATAGTATTTACTGAGTATGAAATATCCACTGAATTTCCAGAGTAATAGTCTTAACTGAGCATGAGATACAGAGTTTCTTGTGTAATAGTCTTTACTCAGCATGAGAAACATAGTTTCTTGTGTAATAGTCTTTACTGAGCATGAGATACAGAGTTTCTTGTGTAATAGTCAATACTGATCATGAGATAACCTGAGGTATGCATACACTGAAGTTCTTGTAAAATAGTCTACTGGGCATGAGATATCTCAACGTATATGTACACTGAAATTCTTGTGAAATAGTCTCTACTGAGCATGAGATATTTAAAGGTATACATACAATGAAATTCTTGTTCTATAGTATTTAATGAGCATGAGATCCCAAGGTATACATACACTGAGTTTCTTGTGTAATAGTCTTTAGTGAGCATGAAATATCCAAAGGTATACATACACTGAATTACTTGTGTAATCGTATTTACTGAGCATGATATCTCCCAAGGCATACATACACTGAATTTCTTATGTACAGTGTAATAGTATTTACTGAGTATGAGATGTCCACTGAATGTCCGGAGTAATAGTCTTTACTGAGCATGAAATACAATGTTTATTGTGTAATAGTCTTTACTGATCATGAGATAACCTGAGGTATGCATACACTGAAGTTTTTGTAAAATAGTCTACTGGGCATGCGATATCTCAAGGTATATGTACATTGAAACTCTTGTTCTATAGTATTTAGTGAACATGAGATCCCAAGGTATACATACACTGAGTTTCTTGTGTAATAGTCTTTAGTGAGCATGAGATATCCGAAGGTATACATACACTGAATTTCTTGTGTAATCGAATTTACTGAGCATGAGATATCCCAAGGTATACATACACTGAATTTCTTGTGTAATCGTATTTACTGAGTATGAAGATATCCACTGAATGTCCGGAGCAATAATCTTTACTGAGTATGAGATACGGAGTTTCTTGTGTAATAGTCTTTACTGATCATGAGATAACATAAGGTATGCATACACTGAAGTTTTTGTAAAATAGTCTACTGAGCATGAGATATTTCAAGGTATACATACACTGAGTAACTTTCTTGTGTAATAGTCTTTTGTGAGCATGGGACATTCCAAGGTATACATAGAGTTTCTTGTGTGATATTATTTACTGAGCATGAAATAACCCAAGGTATACATACATTGACTTTCTTGTGTAAAAGTTTTTACTTAGCATGAAATATCCAAAGGTATACATGCACTGGCTTTCCTGTGTTACAGTATTTACCTAGCATGATATTTCTTAAGGTATACATACACAGAGTTTCTTGTGTAATCGTATTTAATGAGTATGAGATATCCACTGAATTTCCGGAGTAAGTCTTTACTGAGCATGAGATACAGAGTTCCTTGTGTAATAGTCAAAACTGATCATGAGATAACCTAAGGTATGCATACAATGAAGTTCTTGTGAAAGGCTCTACTGAGCATGAGATATTCCAAGGTTTACGTACACTGAAATTATTGTGTAGTAGTATTTAGTGAGCATGAGATATCCCAAGGTATACACTGAGTTTCTTGTGTAATATTCTTTACTGAGCATGAGATACAGAGTTTCTTGTGTAAAAGTCTTTACTGGGCATGAGATATCCCAAGGTATACATACACAGCATTTCTTGTGAAATAATCTTTACTGAGCATGAGATATCCCAAGATACACATACACTGAGTTTTTGTGTAATCGTATTTACTGAGCATAAGATATCAATTGCATTTCCTGAGCATGAGATATAGAGTTTCTTGTGAACTCGTCTACTGAGCATGATATAATTATCTTTAGGAATACATACACTGAAATTCTTGTGAAATATTCTCTACTGAGCATGAGATATTCCAAGGTATACATACACTGCATTTCCTAAGTAAACGTATTTACTGCACATGAGATATCATAAGGTAAAGGTATACATACACAGAGTTCTTGTAAAATAGTCTACTGAGCATGAGATATTTCAAGGTATATGTACACTGAAATTCTTGTGAAATAGTCTCCAATGAACCTGAGATATCTCAAGGTATACATACACTGAAATTTTTGTGTAATAGTATTTATTGAGCATGAAATATCCTAAGGTATACATACACTGAAATTATTGTGTAATAGTACTTACTGAGCATGATATATCCCAAGGTATTCATTCCGAGTTTCTTGTGAAATAGTCTTTACTTAGCATGAGATTACCCAAGGTATACATACACTGAATTTCCTGAGTAAACGTATTTACTGAGCATGAGATATCCCATGGTATAATGCACCAATTTTCCTGTGCAATAGTCTTTACTGAGCATGAGATATCCCACGGTATAATGCACCAACTTTCCTGTGCAATAGTCTTTACTGAGCATGAGATATCCCTAGGTATAATGCACCAACTTTCCTGTGCAATAGTCTTTACTGAGCATGAGATATCCCATGGTATAATGCACCAACTTTCCTGTGCAATAGTATTTACTGAGCATGAGATATCCCATGGTATAATGCACCAACTTTTCTGTGCAATAGTCTTTACTGAGCATGAGATATCCCATGGTATAATGCACCAACTTTCCTGTGCAATAGTCTTTACTGAGCATGAAATATCCCATGGTATAATGCACCAACTTTCCTGTGCAATAGCCTTTACTGAGCATGAGATATCCCATGGTATAATGCACCAACTTTCCTGTGCAATAGTATTTATTGAGCATGAGATATCCCATGGTATAATGCACCAACTTTCCTGTGCAATAGTATTTATTGAGCATGAGATATCCCATGGTATAATGCACCAATGTTCCTGTGCAATAGTCTTTACTGAGCATGAAATATCCCATGGTATAATGCACCAATGTTCCTGTGCAATAGTCTTTACCAGGCTTGATCTATCCCTTATAAATACTACATACACTGAATTATGTGTTATATACTTTACACTGATTTATTGATTGTTTGTTGGTGTTTAAATCCTCCTTCAGCACTCTTTGTTATATCATGGTGGTTATTTGGTAGAGGAATTCTCAGTTCCCTAGTAAGAACCACCAACCTTTGGGAAGAAAACTGGCACTCCTCGTTAGTTAAGATTGTAGTCAAAAGCATCTTGCAATGAGCAGGTTAGAACCCACAAACTTGAGGTTCACAGGCTAGGGCTCATTGCTAATGAACTACTTAGAACACTCTGCCAACGAGGTCTTTAATATACTTTACATAGTTATACATTAATGTGAAAAGAGACAAAAAAAGAACTTTGTAAAGATGTTTATTTACCTAACATATATATAACATGAAGATAGAGCAATATAAATAAATAAAAGATATACATACCAAAACAATTTGAGAAATTCGAAATCAGTATGGTATCAATAAACCTCATTTATAATTTCGTATTCAAATTTCCTGTAACAGTTCACTACTGTGTATTACTAATTGATAGAATAAAATAAAGTCACCGCAATTTATTGGACATGACCAATCTGCAAAGGAATGGACAAAATCAAATGCCACAACTATAAATTGGATATGAAAAGTTCACAACTGTTAATTGGACATGAGAAGGTTACAACTGTTAATTGGACATGACAAGGTCACAACTGTTAATTGGACATGACAAGGTCACAACTGTTAATTAGATATGACAAAGTCACAACTGTTAATTGGACATGACAAGGTCACAACTGTTAATTGGACATGACAAGGTCATAACTGTTAATTGGACATGACAAGGTCACAACTGTTAATTGGACATGACAAGGTTACAACTGTTAATTGGATATGACAAGGTCACAACTATTAATTGGACATGACAAGGTCACAACTATTAATTGGAATTGACAAGGTCACAACTGTTAATTGGATATGATAAGGTCACAATTATAAATTGGATATGACAAGGTTAAACTCATATATTCGATATGACAAGGTCATAGATGTTTATTGGACATAACAAGGTCACAACTGTTAATAGGCTATGACAAGTTCACAACAATTAATAGGATATGACCAGGTCATAACTATTAATAGGACATGACAAGGTCACAGCTGTTAATTGGATAAGTCACAACAGTTATTTGTTAATGACAAGGTTATAACTGTTAATTGGATATGACAAGATCAAAACTGTTAATTGGATATGACAAGGTCACAACTATAAATTGAATATGACAAGGTCATCACCATTTATGTGATAGGACAAGGTCACAACTGTTAATTGGATATGACAAGGTCATCACAACAAATTGGATATAAAATAGTTAAACAGTGAGATTCTAATGGAATTAGACCTGCTAAAGTCAAATCATTACAAAAGATTTTAAAATTGACATAGTTTTCCATACGTCCAAACATCCAAATTGTTTTTCTAGAAATTTCAAAAAATTCAAAATATGCAAGCCAGTTTTGTAGAAATCTTAGGAGCTATATGATCAAAAGGGACCTCAAAGAATAGCCAAATCAATCTTAAGTCAACTTTGTCTGAGGGAGTTGAAACTTGCATATATCCCTTGCACAAATTAGTTGATTTACAGTAGTAACACTTATCACCCCTTAAATCTTGTTGCTTACTCTAGTTCCCATGATGAACTCCTTATAGTAACACTTGCACTTTAGTGTTATTAAAAAAAATATCTTAAAGTATCTAAAAGAACTAACACAACACACCTCACTATTTCATTATCTAAAAATATTCACAACATTCATTTCTCAATCGAGCAGAATCAGCAACTTTGATTTCTACATTTATGAGTAAAAAAAAATAATTAAAAAATCAATAAAATCAACAAAGCTATGTCAATATCAATAAAATTTATTCTACTTTCTGCATATCCTAGCAATCAGTTTTACCTGGGTTTAGATGTGTGGTATAAAAGTATTAACAAAATTACTGATATCCCAAGGTAACTTCAAAAAGGGGGAAGTCAATAAAACCTTACAAAATAAACTGGGACTATATAATCATAGGTATGTTTGATTTCTTACACTTACAGTTTCACACTTTTTATTGACTTTAATACTGGAAAATTATTTAAGATATTGATAAATAACTTAAAAAAATTTATCATAAATATTTTTGCAAGACACAATCTTTGTACGAATTTTATATATATAGATAAACTATAAACCTGTTAATTCATCATTTTAAAATAAATTGAAAATGAAAATTAACAAAAACCATGGGTACAAACTGCTTTTCTTGATTTACCTTCACCAAGAAAGCACAAACCCAATAAGCTATATAAAGGCAAAATTTCATAGTCAGAAATGAGAATATGTATATAATGTAAATTCAGAATATTAATGCATGTGTTTATTTCTGTAAATCTCAGACACCCAACAATAATGCCAGACTAATAAATAGCATTAGTATTAATGATGTAGCATAAATAAATAGTCAGCAAATATGAAAATGCAAGTCAAAATATCAGAAATTGTCCCATTAACATTAATGAACACATCACATTAATTTTTAGATTTCCAACATATTGCACAACATAAGTAAACAGCTAATAATGTTATAGAATAAACATTGCAAAAAAATAGCCATTTCTTCACGTCATTTTGTGCTATTCAAGCTCAACATCAAGATTTTACACTCAGTTGTATTATACCAAGTCATTTTACAAAATAAAAGTTCAAATTTATAAATGCAATGATCTTCTGTTTAAAAGCAATTTAGCAAATGCAATGCCCATTTTCATTAAGGGCCATTCCAGACAAAATATACTTGGGAGTGGACATCACCCCACCACCCATCATTTTTTTTTTCATTTGTAACAGAATTGTATTTGCTTCCACCTCTATTAACCACAAAACGATATCATGAAGTGTCCAAATCTTTCATACATTTCCCTTTGAATAGCCCTTAACAACATTCTATAGGTTGATGAAATAATGTTTTTCGTTAAGACATTTTAGGAATGATCCAAATGCTTGCTATATATATCTAATAAGAAGATGTGATGTAGTATTTTAGAAAATATTACATTAAATACGAAAACACTTCCAAAAGCAGCTGTCTTGGCAGATCAAATATGGAATGTTAGCTAATTATTAATATCCACAAATATATATACAAATGAGATAATATCAAAATATTACATGTATAAATAAAATAATAAATACAAATTACATCACATTTTGAAAGAATGAACAAGGGAGATCCATACTTCATTAATCACAGATCTTAAAAGGAAAGTATTCCATTAAAATGAATGTTAGAGGGTAGAAATGGAAGTTTTATTTTTGAACAAGGATAATTGGACAGTAAGGTTCATTATATCAAATGCACAAAAATGGATGTGTTTACATGTAAAAATTTACTCTGACTACAAACAAACTGTGCAGTTGGAAAAGTTTTAAGGCCTAGCGTCAACTAGATATATAAAAGTTAAATACATTTTGTGTTTGAGAAGGATAATTTTGACCAAGTCATGTTACAGGTTTATCTGTACTCGAAGTAGTTTTTGTCCATTTGTTAGGATGATCCTTAATAGCTGTATCTCCATTACATGTTTGCAACATTATGCTGAGAAAGTAAGTTGAATTTAAGGGTATTTTGGAATTAATTTTCTACCATCTACAGACTCAGTTATGAACAACAGAAAATGTCAATATATTCATTTATTGGCATGGGTACATATTTTCATGAATACTTTTGGACAACTAATTTTGTATATGAGCCTATATATAGAAATTTTGTTGAATTCTTGAATTCATGGTTTTCTCTGGAAATCCATAACAATTTAACAAATTTGCAGAATAATGACTTTAATTTTCTTTTTAGTTATTAGGAAAATCTATGTCATAACTAGAACTATTTTTATCATATCTAGTTGTTTCAATCCATTCTGACAGCAAAAGCATGAATTAAATACACAAACTTTATTACATTGACAATAACCTATTGCAATGGAATGTAAAACATATAAAAATAACTCATGTAACCTTGCAAAACATAAAGTAAAATCTATTATGAACCAATTTTCTGTATCAGCTTAATATTTTTTAAAACTGGATGAATTGAAACAGATTTAGACAATGTGTCCTAGCGTTGACTTTCAAAAAAAAAATGGCAAGCAATTTTCTTTGAGAAACTAGCAACTGTTTTTTAATACATACTGTAAAATCAGAAATTATTGCGTCCGTTTATTATTGTGATTTTTTAAGAATGGATAAAAATGCGAGAATAGTTATTACGATTTCAGGAAAATCTCCATACAGATGTATGTTTCAGATATCAAAATGTGAGTTCTTATTATTGCGATACTGACACAGTCGCATTTTTCACATTAATAAAAACCTCGCAATAATATCTGAATTTACAGTACTGTGGACTCATTATTATTTGTTGAATACTGTAAATTCAGAAATTATTGCGTGCATTTATTATTGCGATTTTGTCATTTTAGAATAAAATGCGATTTTAATTTTTGCGATATTAAGAAAAATCCTGTTTAATTCATATAAAAAATTTCAAAATGCGAGTTTAAATTATTGAAATAAAAACATCGCAATAATTTATGAATTTACAGTACCAATTTTCATGGACTTCGTAGGTACAGGTGAACAACATATTTAAATGTGCATTGAAAACTGAATTTTCTTTAGGCTTGAATGCCATGAAATCAAATTTATACTGCAACTAGTTGTGTGTATTTCCTAAATATAGTAACAAAGCTATATTTTGTGCAATGTCGATTTCATCATGGATCACTTTTTCCACAATCAGGGGTTCATTTAGGGATGAAAATAAGTTTGAAATGTGTGTTAAAATTTAAATAGCTATCAATGTATTAATTTATGTTGCAGTATAAAAACAATATTAGGTCAATGTAAGAAAAATATAAACTTTTTTGTATTTGGCACAAAATTGGGGAAGGGCTCGGTATAACCTCGCCCTTCCCCAGTTTCTCAGCCTCATACAGAAAAGTTTATACTTTTCTGACATTGACCTAATATTGTATATATCCATGAAAATCCAATGTTTCCCAAATCCACAAAATAATATTAGGGCTTTTTCATTAAAATGTATGTGGGAGGGTAGGACGGGAAGTTTAATTATTGAATGTGGGTCATGGGTCTTTTTTCAGTATGCGTCTAATACCATTATGCAAAATTATCTAAAATATGGTTCTTGGTTGTAGGGATATTTTGAAAGTCCCTTCCTACCCTCCCACATACATTTTAATGGAATAGCCCTTTCCCACAACAATAAATGAATCCACAGTATAACAAGATGGCTGTGCTGATTATAAGGTAACTAAAGAAACCACTATCGTACACAGTATTAACTTAATACTACTTTATACAGAAAATATGTCAATGATAGCATTGCAGTGCATTGAAAAATTAAATAATAAAACATACATCTATATATGCATAAATAAGTTAAATATTGCACTGTTATTATAGGTACCCTTTACATTGCCATTACTAGGTAGTGATCCAGAAATAAATGTAAAATGGAGGGTCAAAGTGGAAATTTCATTTTACTTTATTCCACAATACATAGCCTGTTAAATTGAAAAATTCTTTATTTTTTTATAGTGAATCTTTCAAAACAATTACACACCATTAAATTTTAATTCAAAGAGCCTTTTGACACTGATACAAATTATTTTTGAATTTGAAGTGCCCTCTGACTTCTATAAAATTATTTCTGGAACACCACTAACAAAAACAAATATACAAACTAGAGGCTCTAAAGAGCCTGTGTCGCTCACCTTGGTCTATGTGCATATTAAACAAAGGACACAGATGGATTCATGACAAAATTGTGTTTTGGTGATGGTGATGTGTTTGTAGATCTTACTTTACTGAACATTCTTGATGCTTACAATTATCTCTATCTATAATGAACTTGGCCCAGTAGTTTCAGTGGAAATTATTTTGTAAAATTTTACAAAATTTATGAAATTGTTAAAAATTGATTATAAAGGGCAATAACTCCTTAAGGGGTCAATTGACCATTTTGGTCATGTTGACTTATTTGTAGGTCTTACTTTGCTGTTTACAGTTTATCTCTATCTATAATAATATTCAAGTTAATAACCAAAAGCTGAAAAAATTTCTAAAAATTACCAATTCAGGGGCAGCAACCCAACAACAGGTTGCCTGAATGGTCTGAAATTTAAGGGCAGATAGATCTTGACCTAATGAACAATTTTGTTTTAGAAAGATTTGCTCGAAATGCTTTGGGTTTAGATATATGAGCCAAAAACTGCATTTTACCCTATGTACTATTATTAGCCATGTCGGCCATCTTGGTTCGCGGGCGGGGTCATCAGACACAATTTTTAAACTACATACCCTAATGATGATTGTTTACAACTATGGTTAAATTCATCTTAGTAGTTTCAGAGGAGAAGATTTTTGTAAAAGATAACAAAAATTTACGAAAAATTGTTAAAAATTTACTATAAAAGGGCAATAACTCCTTAAGGGGTCAACTGACCATTTTGGTCATGTTGACTTATTTGTAGCAATTACTTTGCTGAACATTATTGCTGTTTACAGTTTATCTCTATCTATAATAATATTCAAGATAATAACCAAATACAGCAAAATTTCCTTAAAATAACTAATTCAGGGGCAGCAACCTAACAACGGGTTGTCCGATTCATCTGAAAATTTCAGGGCAGATAGTTCTTGACCTGATTAACATTTTTACCCCATGTCAGATTTGCTCTCAATGCTTTGGTTTCAGAGATATAAGCCAAAATCTACATTTTACCCCTATGTTCTATTTTTAGCCATGGCGGCCATCTTGGTTGGTTGGCCGGGTCACCGGACACATTTTTTAAACTAGATACTACCCTAATGATGATTGTGGCCAAGTTTGGTTAAATTTGGCCCAGTAGTTTCAGAGGAGAAGATTTTTGTAAAAGTTTACGGACGACGGACGCCAAGTGATGAGAAAAGCTCACTTGGCCCTTTGGGCCAGGTGAGCTAAAAATGGGGAATGTGCCCCCGCTAGCATATCATATAAAGTTATAAAGGGACATAACTGAAGAACGGTAAAAGTGACACTACCCAAATTTGCACTTGATCTGAGTTTTGTGGTAATAAGTATTGTGTATAAGTTTCATAAAATTTGGTTGAGGCAAACTTAAGCTAGAGAACGAAAACGATAAATTCAGCAATTTTTCCATTTGTAAAGGGTCATAACTCTAGAACGATATAAATGACACCACCAAAATTATAACTTGATCTGTGTTTTGTGGTAATAAGCATTGTGTATAAGTTTCGTAGCATTTGGTTCAGGCAAACTAAAGTTAGAGAACGGAAACGTAAAATTCAGCAAATTTTCCATTTGTAAAGGGGCATAACTCTAAAACGGTTAAAGTGACGCCACCAAAATTCAGTCTTGATCTGTGATTTGTGGTAATAAGCATTGTGTATAAGATTCACAACATTTGGTTGAGGCAAACTAAAGTTAGAGAACAGAAACCAACTTTGGGACCTACGGACGTACAGACGGACAAGGGTAAAACTTAATGCCCCCTCCGCTACGGCGGGGGCATAAAAAATTGAGAATAAAATTTGATTAAAGTTTTACTGTAACCAACTTTTATAGTGAAACATAAATGTAATGCCACACTAATTATGTGAAACATAAATGTAATGCCACGCTAGTTAATTATGAAACATAAATGTAATGCCACACTAATTAGTTATGAAACATAAATGTAATGCCACACTAATTAATGTGAAACATAAATGTAATGCCACACTAATTAATGTGAAACATAAATATAATGCCACACTAATTTATGTGAAACATAAATATCCAGTCACAGTTTAAACAACAATCACAACACCTATAATGAATATAGAAATAAAAATGCCCGTTCTGATTGCCCAACACAGTTTTCACAATATAAATTGCAAAGAATTAATACTTTACAGTACAGTAAAACCTAGGAGACAAGAATATTAAATATTTCACAGTAAGGTTAAACCTAGGAGACATGAATATTGAATATTTTACAGTACAGTAAAACCTAGGAGACGTAAATATTAAATATTTTACAGTATTATAAACCTAAAAGACTTTCGTATTATGTATTTGTATTAAAAATAGCCGCTTTCCCTCCTTTTCTGTAGTCGGACACAGCATTTATTCTATTGTTGACCTTCTTTATACCCTGAACTTCATTTAAACCTTCTGAAGCCTTCACCATCTTATGTCCCATTTTTCCTAATTCATCTATAACTTTCTGTGGAAATCCATCTGAAATCATATAAAAAATATAGGTTACTGTGTTTTCGAAATTGTTCTGCAGAATTTTCATCCTTTTTGTTGTATCTGTAATTGTAATCTATTGCAAACTATTGAAAAATGACAAAAATAAAACAAATATTGAAATAGTGACAAATGTACATAAAATATTAGAAAATATACAGTGTAAACTTATTTTTTTCATCTTGTCATTAATGTATTAAAGGCAGATCATTGATAGTCTTATGCTAAATTTTTCACAATAATCTAAGACTCAGACAATTTACCACTTAACATATATTGAATATATGGACAAGCCACATATTGTTGAAATCTGAATGTTGACCTGTAGATCTTATTTTTATGGTTGGGTTGTTTTCTATTTAACATATACCCAACATCTGCTTTTATTATCCGAAACAGGGATCCAGAGGTAACAAGAGGGTATCAACAGGGATCCAGAGGTACCAAGAGGGTATCAACAGGGATCCAGAGGTAACAAGAGGGTATCAACAGGGATCCAGAGGTAACAAGAGGGTATCAACAGGGATCCAGAGGAAACAAGAGGGTCTCAACAGGGATCCAGAGGTAACAAGAGGGTAACAACAGGGATCCAGAGGTAACAAGAGGGTATCAACAGGGATCCAGAGGTAACAAGAGGGTCTCAACAGGGATCTAGAGGTAACAAGAGGGTCTCAAACAGTTAAGCAACAACTTCTAAATAACTTTTGCCTATTGATGTGAGAGGTTATATATCTATTTTCTAAAATCTATATTTTTAAAAGTTGTGACAAGGTGATATTTTTGAGGTACTACACCATGTTTGTCACAATATTGCACAATTTTTCCATTTACAAGTACTAACTACTAACAAAAACAATACTAACCCGAGGTAACTCCTAAAAAAATGTTTATATGTAACCAAATTGTATTTTCAGTATTAGGACATACCTTCATACTCTACATCAGAAGGATAAAGCTGTGTGTGGATCCTAGGAGCACTAATAGCATCTGCCATTGTCAATCCAAATGATACAACATTCAGTAATACCTCTGTCACACCTATAAATGATTTAAAAAACACATTTTTATATTTTTCTTACACTTCAGTTTTTCTAAGCTATAATAAACTTTCCCATCAAATGTTTTGCATCACATGAAATGAATGGACTACAAAGATACTATAATCACTGTGATTATGCAAGTATTCTGAGTATTACAGTAAAATTCACAATATAAAAGAATACCTGCTATAATGAGAGACAACTTTCACAGAAATTTTTACTCGAACCCTACAGAGAGACAGCAATAATAACATACCAGTTATAATCCTTGATCCATTGGCTCCACCAATCACAAGTCTCATTTTGCAAGGGGAGTCCTGGTTATACAAAATAACTGGTGCCATGTTGGAAAGTGGGCGTTTCCCAGGAGCAATATAATTCAGCTGAAACGATCAAATGATATTGTATTCTAATGTATAAATGGTATGTGTGTTTTAAAAGACATATCTACTGTGGATTCATTATATTCGTTGACCATACCAATTTTGGTGGACAGACAAAAAATTGTATTTTCATGGATATCTGATTTTTGTGGTTTTCCAAAAATTTGTATACAAGCCTTTGGAAATTTTATACTTTGTTGAACATTTAAATTTTTGGTTTCCTTATACCAAGGAAATAAACAAAAACTGGTACTCCAAGAACAATAAATCCACAGTACTTATTAAATATATGTGTTATTCTTTTTTTGTTGTTTTTATTTAAGGTGGCTGGGGGCCTTAATTAAAATCCATAGAATTTTTTAATAATTTGTCAAAATGAAGTTTTAATCATGCTTTTTTCAAAAATATAATAAAAAGTATGGGTCACCTGACTTTTTTTCACGCTACAGGTTGTGCAAAATTGTCAAATTTTGTATTGATTATGCATAGAAAATCCAATTTTGTGTGATAAAAAGAAAATTACACCATAGAATTTTAAGATAAAATGTGAGAAGATAGCTCTTATAACATGCTTTCAGATAAGAAAAAGAAAAAATGGGGTCACCGGACTTGTTTTCTTGCTACATATTAAAATAGGTAAATTCACAACACTTTCTATTATAAAATTACTTTATCTGAGTTATCTCCCTTACTATCCGAGTTATCTCCCCTTATTTGGCAAAGTTGAAAAAAAATTAATCAAACAAAAATATTGTGTTTTGTGGAAAATACAGCTGTAAATATGATAAAACACATGATTTTCTATATTAACATTAGAAGTCTTGCACATGAATTACATACTACTCTCAAAATTTGCACATTTCATTAAAGATCTAGACAAATTGTTATCTGCTTCTTCAAAATCCAGATGGAGGAAGACACCCGAGCCACCTTAAAATGGATGGGACAAGACCAAATTAAGCCTGTGTGCCTCTTCTCAAACAAAAATCCAAATACAAAAACAAATTTTTACAGAAGCTGATTACTATATAAGGAAAGTTAAAAGAGGACAAGATGATTCCAGATTACCATCTATAATTTGCCTTTATGACTGTTTTTTTCTGTTCTGTTTAATCCCTTTTGTTTTAAAAATCTTTGGATGTTTTTATTAGCTCTTGGTTTTCAAACTTTTGGCATTGAGCATACTTGATAAAGGTTATTCTAAAAACATGTGTTTTGTGAACAGAAGCTGAATCAGGTGTTTTGTTTTTACTACCACTGAGTTGGTATTGGTACTGGTAGACTTTGAGTCCCTTTGGGATACCATATCCATCTAGAAACCAGTTCCGTATTATCATGAATCAAATTATACATTTTGTGTGTAAATTTCCAGTTAAAAAATACCTTTTTAATTGTACTTAAAATTAAGCTCAAACTCCCCGTGACAAAATTGACCCTTCACAGTTTCGGATATTCTCTTTTTGCCCCATTGGATGGACACTCTGAGGAATTTCATATTTTTTTTGCTTTCCAAACATTTGGTCTTAATTGTACCTTATCGCACCGTGGTAAATTATGACGTTGTGATTGGTTTAATGCCGTTACATGGTGACCCCCTATGGATCCGTAGGGGTTAGTAAATTTCATATGGGGTTCATGACATCACGTCTTCTGTTAATTGTGACGTCATCTATTGATGTTGTTGTATTTCATTGTTTATTGTTCTACAAACGCGACAGGAAAAGTCCTGTGTGCGATAAATTCATTATACAGTTCACTACTGACCCCCTACGGACCATAGAGGGTGAGTAAAATTTATAGGGAGATTCGGCCTTCGGCCTCACCCCCTATGGATTTTTCTTACCCTCTATGGATCCGTAGGGGGTCAGTAGCGAACCATATAACTTATATATTTCATATTATGAAAGTTGTCCAAATAACCTGTCATGTACCTGAAATTATTATCCTATGATTTTATAAACACTTTGGAGTCTACAGGACTTAATAGAAATTATTCATAAAATAATTAGGTACAATGAAACTGATCTGTTGTAAAGTATCAAACCCTATATTGTCCAATTGTTCTACTACACTCCTCATACCTTGTTATTTTTGGTATCAGGATTATCAGGATCAGCAAAATCAGCCATCTGGTTATTCAGTAAAATCCCAGTATCTGTCATTATCTTAGATCCAAACCAATAATTGACCGTTCTGTTGAATAAAGCATTTTCTTAAGAATTTATTTCATCTCAGAAACTATGAACTTACATGCAATTTGTAACACTGAACATTAATCTTTAGATGAAAGATACTATTAACTTATTATATACAAAAACCATTAATTCATAATAAGCATGCAAAATTTAAAAACATTGTCGTGCAGCTTATATCAAAATACAACATGAATTACTGTCATATACCAATTTATTGATGATAGAAAAGTAAACAGTCATAATTTGCCTTGAATTTTATGCCCCTGCAGTAGACTTCTCGTTCTTAAATAAACTACTAATTCTTTTCCATTGCAAATACTTTCAAATTCATGTTACTGATTTGATGATGATAGTGATTTTCCCGCAAATTTTGTTTGCTTATCAGCAACATTGCAAAAACAATGTGTAACACTTGAATGAATTATTACCTACCCTTGCTACTTTATGGTATACCCTTAGGTCAAAGAGACCATAAACTTACATAGTCACAGAGACCATTAATTCCTGAGCATCTATAACAGATATATGAGATGTTCCTTTCTCAGGAGACATGGCTACCACACCATTGTTGAGGACAGAGAAAAGTTAGATGATAGACTTACGTAGTCACAGAGACCATTAATTCCTGAGCATCTATAACAGATATATGAGATGTTCCTTTCTCTGGAGACATGGCTACCACACCATTATAAAAGGAAGGATCAGCATGTGTCTTTTCTGTTGTCTTATTCATGATCAATTTAGCCATAGCTTTACTACAAATACAATTTGGCAATTTGTTACAACACACATTTTTTTATTCACGTAGAAATGATGCTGAATTCTAGATAAAATCATGCATGGATCCCAAAATTCCTGTTAGAAAAATATTGGGTTACAAGAACTGAATATAGATGATTAAGTTTTACTATCTGTTGTACTCCCTAAATGCATGTAAATGTAAATTCTATATGTTTTTAAGAGTTCAAAGTTTCAAGAAAATACCTGCTGGAAACATTTTTGATCTGCAATAGTATTTTCCAATTTAGAGGAGAAAACAGAGCAACAGCCATTATGAAAAACTTATGACTTACTGGCCTGAAATTCAGATTACACAATATTTCTATATATCTATTAGGCTGGTAACTCCTCTTTTAAGAAACTTGTTACGGTTCCTACTATATTTTCACTGAATTATGGGCTTGTGGTTTATAGTGAAACTGGTTAGGAATAAAATATTAACTTTATATCTTGTTAATTTATTTTAAAGATGCAATTCCCAAACAACTCTTCATTTTGCATTTTGATATATTTTCAATAGTGGCAATACATATTCAAAATGTGGAACAAGTCAATACAAAACACATGATGTAACATGTTAAGCAGGATTTCCATAACCTTTCAGTAGTACCTCATTTCCCTTATTATTATCATGACTGTTTGTACTATCCAAGGTTTTGTTTTTCATTTCTGTCTGTTGCTTATCAAACAATTACAATGATATTGTCATGCCAATGTTGACATGTAAGATTTCTTTGCTTATTTTAGTCTGAAATATGTTGATATTACCCTAAGCCTGTGTTTTTAATATACAGATGAAGAATTATCATTAATAAACGAAGAGTTGTTTTAAACCAGTGCTAGGAACCATTTTAAACTTGCATTGTTAGTGGTAAGAGCTTTGGTGACTATGAGATGAAGAACAGCAATATAAGTGTTATTCCTGGCTTTTGGTTGTGTGGGGAATAGGTGTCATGAATTATACAACATATTCATACTCTTCCATTTAATTATTGCTCTGTTTTAGACAGTCTTTTGAACTTGTTTTTTTACAGATTTTCAACATTTAAATATATTTCTTGTGATACAGCTACTTCAGTTATCTCGCAGTCTCTACATTCAAAACTTTCCATGGTCCTTTTTTCAGAACAGGCCTTTCACTTATTGTAAATAAGGACTTACTCTAACATCTTACTAGTAGCATTCAATGCAGAAGATTCAAATTTGGGGTCAGCTAGTTCTTGTTGTTGAGCAAAGCCAAATTTAAATGCCTGCAAAAACAATTGCTCTCTATAATCTATTATAAATATAAAATAAGGAAATGTGGTATGAGTGTAGAATCACTAGAATAATATAATTAGTTATCCAAACTATAAATGAATAGCTTCCCATTTTAATTTGTTTTCTAAAAGAATAAATGAATTATAAGTTATAAATTTTAATTTTAATTTTTCTAATTTAGGAAAAAACCTGCAAAAACCTGTGTAAATCATGCAAAGATATTTACTGGCTAAATAGTGTTCCTGCAATTTTCAAATGTTTGCTTACATTTTCTTTGTACAAAGAAAAATCTTCATAACATGCTATGTAGGTCAATTTATTAATTCAATTTCATTAACTAGTTATCAAGTACTGTAAATTCAGAAATTATTGCGAGGTTTTTATTAATGCGAATAATGCGATTGGATGAGTATCGCAATAATAAGAACTCGCATTCTGAATTTCGATACATATAATGTATCCAGATTTTCTTGAAATCGCAATAATTAATCTCGCATTTTTGTCCATTCTTCAAAAAATCGCAAAAATAAATGCACGCAATAATTTCTGAATTTACAGTATGAATTTCACAACCCTTACCAACTGTATAAATAACTACTGGTTGAAAATTTGTAATGAAACTCAGGCAAAGATTAGAGAGAAATTTAAGAACATTGTCTACTGTTGAAGACCATATCTAAGGTGTCTTTTGGTTTTGGTATTGTTTGTTTGCTGTCTTATTATCATATATCCCATATTTCCTTTACTTCATGAAAGTCCAGAAGAAGTTCAGATTGGACAATTTTCATTGTATATTTGTAAATAGACTGAAATAAAATTAAGAATGGAAATAGGGAATGTGTCAAAGAGACAACAACCCGACCATAGAGCAGACAACAGCCGAAGGCCACCAATGGGTGAAAGCATGCTGACTTTTAGATTTCTTTTGCTCTTTTGTGTACTTTGGTTGCTGTCTTATTGACACATACAGTTGAACCTCATTATGTCGAAGTCGAAGGGACCAGACCAAAGTATTTGACTTATCAGAGGTTTGACTCATCCGAGGTCCAGTGTGTCATCATAAATTTGGAATGCATGAAATACAGTGAGATTTGTGTAAACTAGATATTTTGAACAGTGTGTCTATTTTCGATATGACATTTTATGATTGTGTATTCATCTCCATATTTTTTGGTCCTTCATGATAATTAAACACACAAGAACAGATACAAATCTTCACAAACAAGCATTCTGAGAGTATTGCATGGCAATACATAGTCCCCTACCGGGTAAACATTCGTTTTACTGGAACAAAATGCTAACTTGTTCTATAACTTGTCATGGTGTAAACAAAAAGTAAATATCATGTCAATATCTTCAAGCATGACTAAAAACAGTGTGGAAAACTGATTATATGAGTGAAAAAAACATTAGATATGTTTAATAGTTCTCTAAAATTAGATATGATGTAACTTATCAATAAAATGTCAACAACATGCAGTGTTCTCCCCAGGCCCTTAAAGGACCGCGGGCCCGCGATGTATAATTTTTTACTGTGATGGTATCGTTCTTACCGCGATGTATAATTTTTCTCTGTGGTGCTAAAATTTTCAGTTAAAAAATCGTAAATTGGTAAAGTTTTTAACGACTTGTTAAATCTTTTCCGTGCGGTATAAAATTCCAGTTGAAATTTGACCAGTTCAAACCAGTTCAACACGGATTGTTTACACCACGTGATCGATTTACCTTTATGAGGTTAACCTTTGTTGATTGGATTTAATCGATGCAATTTACACTTTTTACATGATTCTTTTGTGTTTTAATTTAGAGATCATAACTTTATGATCAAAGATAACTATTTTAAGGCTTCAGTCACCACCTGACAAGTCGGCAAATACTTTGTACACAAACCGTGTTGACCCGATAGTTGTACACACGACGGTACATATTTTGTACATTATAAAGTTAGCTCAATACTTATATTATAGTTTTATATGTCTCTGATTAAACCATCGCCAAAATTATCTTTAATTATGACATAATTATTGCATGATATTCCGGTTTCAAACTGTCAACAAGTAATTCAAAGGGGAAGGATCACATGACCCAGTTAGTTCACGTAGAATATTCAAGATTATTTACAATTAACTGCAATCTATTCTAGTTTATAAATAAAATGCATGACTGTACCTTCAAACTGGATATCTATATCCATATGATCATTAATGAATAACAGAAGTGATCTTGCAATTTTAATCCATAAGCACATGTTAAATCTATTTATATCTACTTCCTGTCATTTAGGCGGTTCAAATTATAACACAATTTTGTTCTTGTTAATTTTATATCTCCTTATGACAGGAATCCTTTCACATACAACAACTTTCTTTCTAGAAACTAGAAAGTTTTTTAAATTGAACATTTTTGTTCTCTCTTGAATCTGGGAACAGCATGAACAGTATATCTAACAATATATATGTTCCTGTTTGAATGATATTTTATTTTTATTGATCATGGATTTTATAAAAGATTTAATTACTTTAAATTTAGATGAATATTATGTAATGAATCATGTTTTATTTATTTTTTAAAAATATTAAAAGTATACAAACTGTTTATTGATCTTTTTAACCAATAATATTCTGACATAACACTGTACCACAGTATTAAAACAAAACAAGAGACATTAAAACTGCAGTACATGTAACTAGAAATATAGCGACGCCACGCGACACAACTGATTGTATGAATCATTTCACCAAGCTGTTCACACGCGTTACCCTGGTGCTATCCAAAAAATCCGGGGGAGAACACTGAACATGTATCTACACAATGTAATGTATTGAAATATATACATTAATAAAAATAGATTATTAATATATCTAATTAAAGGATTTCTCTTCATAAATTTTTCTTTATATATATATATAGCATTCAGAATATTAGTTTATACTAAATAACTAACAAACCTGATAAAAAAATCTTCAAATAATTTAACAATGAATGTCTTTAAAAAAATGAGTTATCTCCCTTTGTACAGAAATATGGTTTAACATAGTACTCTAACATTAGATATGGTCCAGAGTTATGGTCCATAACTCTGGACTAAATTATCAGACCGGAACAAAATTCGAACTTGATCTGTAACTTGTCATGATAAAACAATATACCAAATATCAAATCAATATCTTCAAGAATGAAGAAAAAAAGTGTGGAAAGCTGATTTGCCGGACTGACAGAAGGACAGACAGACGGACAGACAGACAGACAGACGGAGTGCAAACCTAAAGTCCCCTTCGACTTCGTTGCTAGGGGACTAATAAAATCAATAGTATACACTTATATTTACAAACGTCAGTCACTGTAAATTATGAAATGACTCGCGGAACGAAACAAGTTCTGAATGGTCTCTGATGAGGTCGTCTGCTTTACATTAAATTATTATGAATTTATCATAATTGTCTTAATCCTATTATCTATTGTAATTTATGAATTTTAATTCTAACAATGCATTTAATCTCGGCTTTGTTCATTTAAATTCGTTTCGTTTTTATGTCATGTGAAATGTGTTCAAAACACTAACGTTCCACTTGGATGATCAACAAAGATGTTAATTACGGGTCATTTTAACTGTTATACAAACAAGTATGTTTACTCAGCTTTAATCTCTTTTGAAAATGATTAGGTTTCATAAGAAATACACCTGATTTGAATTTTTATCATTAGCTCTACATCTTTTGAAAATTCTTACTTACGAACTTTGAGACATCAGGGTTAATTTACATTAATTTCAAATCAACGGGACTATAACATTTACTCAACTAAACCGAGTATTCGAATCAACTGAGTTCTACTCATCAGAGGTAACTGTGCATTGATCAAACTGGAATTTTACCGGGACCAAGAAATTACTTGGACTCATCCAAGTTTTTGACACAACTGAGTTCAACACAACGAGGTTCGACTGTATATATATCACACATCTCCCATTATTCATATTGAAACAAATTTTAATGCAGAAACATTATTTTTTTAAGGGGTGAACATTTCACAGTTTTGAATTTCATTTTGATTTTGTGAAGCTGGATTTTTCCTAGTTTATCACTTATTATAGATAGAAGTGTTCATTGTCAGTTTCTTTTTTGATTTGGTAATTAATTCAAGGGAATAATACTTATTCAGGAAATAAACAAAACTAATACACTGTTTACATAGAGGTATGTCTCGCCTTTTTGTAATTTTGATAATGCAAATGTTGAAATTAAAATAGCAATACTTTAACATGTAAGTTATGCAAATGTTCAAAGTCAATGAACCATGACTGAAGGTCGGGACTAAACAATCTCCATGGAAATGAGATGTGCCAATGCTAATACAACTGCATACCAAATACCATTGACTTATCATATAAAGTCGTTCCCTTTAAACAAACCTAACCACAAACATTAACTTGTAAACTATGTAAAAGTTTCAAAATCAATGAACCATGATGAGGGGGTGGAGCTATATAATCTCCATGGAAATGAGACTTGCAAATGCCAATAAATTTATATACCAAATATCATTGACTTAACATGACCTGTTCATCTTAAACTAATCTAATCACAAACTAATACATGTAAACTAAGCAAAAAGTTCAGAGTCAATAGACCATGACTGACGGGGCAGGGCCAAATATTCTCCATGGAAATGAGATGTTCTAATGCTTATACAACTGCATACCAATTATCATTAGCCTTCCACTAATGGTTCCCCATAAACTGACCTAATCACAAACTAATACATGTAAACTAAGCAAAAGTTTCAAAGTCAATAGACCATGACTGAGGGGGCAGGGCCAAATAATCTCCAAGGAAATGAGATGTGTCAATGCTAATTCAACTGCATATCAAATATCATTGACCTACCACCAGTGGTTCCCCATAAACTGACCTAATCACAAACTACAATGTAATATATTGTTGACGCCGACAACAGCATACCTATGTCTCGCTTTTTGACTCTGTCAAGGCGAGACAAAAACCAATGAAATTTCTGCGTTCACAGTTGTACTGAAAATTCTGAAAATTTTATGGTGTTTTTATTTTGGCAAAATTACAATGGGATAGATCTTCCAAAAAATAAAATGTTGCATTTTAAATTTTGATAATATTTTTTGTAAACAGCTTTTCCTGAAATGGCAATAATAAGTCTTGCATTTTGTCAAATGCCCAATAATCACAAAAATTTCTGAATTTAAAGAGTCTAGAACAAAGTAGCCCATTATTTAAATGAACAAACCTCTAACATTCTGTGTACTGTCTTAGTTTGGTTTTTATCGCCTGATTTGAAGTTATACCCTTCCAATATGTTCATGATAGATAATATTACTGGTCCACCCCCTGGAGCTGGTACTGATATCAATGTCTGATCTGTAATAATAAATCATAAACAGTGTGTATAGTGTATCATATTGTCATTTAGTGTTTACAAATTTTATTTTTTAAGGAATTTTTTTCTTCAACAAATAAGGAAAAAGGCATGTGTGGCCTTCTTGTTCTCAATACCATAAGCAGATTAGAGTTTCTAATTAAAATAAACCGTGATTTTCCAAATATATATAAATATTTGTTTTTTGGAAGTTTTTTTTTTAATTGATCAATAATTAGATATACTTTTTTTTGTAAATTTGTAGAAAATTCCTTTTTTTCTGTGAATCAATGGCAATTTTATGCTTTAATAATTACTAAACATGCTGCGCTATTTAAGCAGCCAAATTATATTGACATTTAAGCATTTGTTACTTACGACATCTATAACCTCTTACCTTTAAATATTGTCCTGACAATATATCTGACCTCTCACCTTTAAATGTTGGCCTGACAACATCTCTGTCCTGTTACCTTAAGGATGTACTTAGGTGAAATTAAAAAAATCTAGAATTCAAAATTGATACTATAAGTCAGAAGAGCATTAGTTAAGAAACAAAACAAGCTAAAAATATTGATAGGTTATGGAACTCCTTTTCGAGATATTTAAATTTTAAAAAATGGCGGGAAATTGCTGACTCTGACTTCTACCTTATATTTGCATTGGTATTATTTGGGTCTCAAATCGAAAGAAAAGAAATCTAGAATCTGCGTTAATTTTGGTAAATGACCTTTTATGAGCTATTGAAGTTTTATATGAAAAGAAAAATGGGTGTTATGGGGCAAAATATTTTACCCTGTATCGTAAGAAAAAAAAACAAGGAGTCTGAACATATGACACAAATTCCTAAACCTGACCTAAGTACATCCTCAGTATGTTGTCCTGACAACATCTCTGACCTCTTACCTTTATATGTTGTCTTGACAACATCTCTAACTACTACCTCATAATCCTTCAGGTCATCCGCTGTCAATATGCCTCCTGCATTTGTTACCTATTGACAGAAACAAAACTTGTTGCAATAATATATTTGCAACTGAAAATAAAGTCTTTACAAGAACACAGGCATCAAAAGCCAATGGAACTTTTGAATAATTACTGTCTTTTAACCTCATTTCACATAATGTTTTTTTTTTTCACAATTAAGATATCTGAAGACGATTCACTTTGTTTAATTTTGCTCACTGCATTAAATTAGCCTTTTATCTTTGAAATGATTAATTTGGAAGTTTCAGACTGATTGATGGAAACTACTGATTTCCCACAAAAAAAATTTGATTTTTTTTTCATATTGAGAGATGGTTTAAAACTCTAAAATGAAACATGTGAAACAAATAAATAAATTCACAACCATGACAACTCAAGAGGATTAAATAACCAACAAAAAATCATTTAAATGTTATAATATGGTAATTGTCAAATTGACATTTATTCAGTACAGATAATTCAGGTTTAAATAAGTACTGTAAATTCGGAAATTATTGCGAGGTTTTTATTAATGCGAATAATGTGACTAGGTTAGTATCGCAATAATAAGAACTCGCATTCTGATATCTTATACATATATCTGTATGCAGATTTTCCTGACATCGCAATAATTAATCTCGCATTTTTGTCCATTCTTCAAAAATCGCAATAATAAATGCACGCAATAATTTCTGAATTTACAGTAGTCTTTTCCTGTACATCTTGTTTGTTATCAAATTCTGTGTAGTATCCATTCATATACACAATAAAAGTAATTTATACTGCAACTGTGCTATTTGAACAGTCAAAATACATTGACCCTTACTGACTGTTTAAAGCTTTATTTGTGTGTTGATAATGTGTTTCTGCAGAGTTTTATCTATATATAATGTATAAAAGAATGCATTTTTGTGCAATTTTTAGGTGGTCCATTTCAAATTTGAAATTAAAAAGATGAATGTTTAATCCTAAGATGACACTGTTTTAATAGTCATTTTGTCCATTTTTCAGATAAATTTGGACCAATAATCAATGCATATTCAAGTACCTCCATTTTCTTGAAGGAGTCGGGTGGTAATTTATGTTTGGTTGGTCCATTGTACTGTCAAAATATTTTTGGTAATTCCTGTTATTTATTTTATATATATTATTTTTTTATTTGGTGTTGAGAACTGCTGTAATAAAATTGTTTAAGGAATTGATTATCTAGATCAAAAGTTTCTGTACAAAATCAAAATGTGACTGTCCATGGATAGACAATGACCCATCATACCATTACATGCTTGTCAAAATTTCAATTGTATAATAAAACAGTTATTATCATACCATTTCATCATCACACTTTCACAGCTACATTCATAAATTTTTGCAATGTTTTTATTTTATATAGATAGATATAAGAAAATGTGGTATGAGTGCCAATGAGACAACTCTCCATCCAAGTCACAATTTGTTAAAGTAAACCATTATAGGTCAAAGTACGGCCTTCAACACGGAGCCTTGGCTCACACCGAACAGCAAGCTATAAAGGGCCCCAAAAATGACTAGTGTAAAACCATTCAAACAGGAAAACCAACGGTCTAATCTATATAAAAAACGATAAACGAGAAACACTTATGAACCACATCAACAAACGACAACCACTGAACATCAGGTTCCAAATGTAAATATAAAAAGTCACATTTTGAATTTCAATGGAATTTTTAAACTCGTATGCAGCATTTCCTGAAATCATAATAATTATTTCAAATTTTTATCCATTGTTGAACAATGGAGATAATAAATGCATGCACAAACTTGTGAATTTAAAGTATTTACTTCTTTTTTTATAGATTGTCATCCCCAATAAGTTGTAATATATTTACTCACAGCATTAACAATACTCTGTACTAGTTCTCCCTCATAGAATGCATCGCTGCCTTTAGCTGCAATGATGTCTAGAGTATCAGCTAACTTTATGTTTTTGATCTTCGTCCCTTCCTTTACAAACTGTCCATCACTTGTTAGGTAGATGTTACCAAGCTGACCTTGGAAATCACTTATTTTGACCTTTCCTGTTTTAAAATCTGTTGCTGAAAACACATATAAAGTTGAACATGAAAGCACATCAAAATCATATTTTATCTAAATGTTAAAACAACATGTAAGTCAACATCACCCGTAAATTACCGCAAAGTAATTGTTCATAATGGTCTAAATATTTCGCCAACTAGTCACTAGTGAGGCATTTTAAGGAAAAGTAAAAGTATGAAATGAAACACTGAAGTACAAAACATGCAGTTATGTGGTTTGCAGGAAGTTCTTTGCTAATCTTTAGCAACAATCATGCCTAAATTAGTTCAAATAACATTAATATGTCATGCATGTTCAGAACGTGAATCATTGCAATTGGGTATTAGCACTTGTCTATTGTTGAAGAGTAATCTCTATTTGCATATTTTGAGTTGTTGAGTTGCTCTCTCATTCATATGTTTTGTGCTGTTGGGTTGCTGTCTCTCATTCATGTTTGTGATGTTGGGTTGCTGTCTCTCATTCATATGTTTGTGCTGTTGGGGTGCTGTCTCTCATTCATGTTTGTGATGTTGGGTTGCTGTCTCTCATTCATGTTTGTGCTGTTGGGTTGCTGTCTCTCATTCATGTTTATGCTGTTGGGTTGCTGTCTCTCATTCATATATTTGTGATGTTGGGTTGCTGTCTCTCATTTATGTTTGTGCTGTTGGGTTCTGTCTCTCATTCATATGTTTGTTCTGTTGGGTTCTGTCTCTCATTCATATGTTTGTGCTGATGGGTTGGTCTGTCATTCATGTTTGTGATGTTGGGTTGCTGTCTCTCGTTCATGTTTGTGCTGTTGGGTTACTGTCTCTCATTCATGTTTGTGCTGTTGGGTTGCTGTCTCTGATTCATGTTTATGCTGTTGGATTGCTCTCTCATTCATGTGTTTGTGCTGTTGGGTTGCTGTCTGTCATTCATGTTTGTGTGCTGTTGGGTTGCTGTCTCTCATTTATGTTTGTGCTGTTTGGTTGCTGTCTCTCATTCATGTGTTTGTGCTGTTGGGTTGCTGTCTCTCATTCATATGTTTGTGCTGTTGGGTTGCTGTCCCTCATTCATGTTTGTGCTGTTGGGTTGCTGTCTCTCATTCATGTTTGTGCTGTTGGGTTGCTGTCTCACATTCATATGTTTGTGCTGTTGGGTGCTGTCTTTCATTCATGTTTGTGTTGTAGGGTTGCCATCTCATTTGTTTGTGTTGTTGTCTTATATATGTTTGTGCTATGTTGCTGTTTCATTCATGTTTGCATTGGGGTGTTGCTGTCTCATTGATTTGTGTTGTGGAGTTGCTGTCTCATTTGTTTGTGTTGTTAGGTTGCTGTCTCATCTATGTTTACCATACATCATGTTTATAAATAAATATACTGTTGTAGATTAGAACATATAGAAATGATAGTTACCCATTGCCATGGTAACCTTGTATCCATTTCTGGCTAAATTTGCAGCTGGTTTTACTACAGAACTCCATGGTAACCTATAAATTATCAATGTAATGAGGAAATAACAAAAGTTTAAAAAGGATAGTCTTGTAACTTATCTTATATTAATTTTTATAATCAATAATAACAATTTTGCTTACAGATTTTTTTTAACATTTAGGACTTCCCCATTGGTGTAATATATCTAATGTAAATAGTATTCTGTTTTACTCCTCTGGATGGATGGATGGATGGATGGATGGCTGTTTAAGGTCCAGTGACAAATTAAATGCATATTCAGGACAAGAACATGATAATATGATATGAATATAGATCCTACTTTGTACTAGAATGCCATGCTAAGTCAGATTTTTAAAGTGCTAGTTCACAAAGTAACAGTCCGCAGGACGACATGTCACCCTACCCTGAGACATTATTCTGATTCTGAGCCAACAAGTCTTTGCTCCTACTTCTTAATTTTTGTGTGCTTAGCGGAGAAGCAGCAAATACCAAATTTCAAAGTCTTTGGTTTGACCTGGCATCTAACCCACAACCCACTACGTATATACACTTGAAATGAGCAGGCTATTATGAGACCATCGGTTCTGTTTTTACTCCACAGTCATCTGTGCACAATACTAACTAACATAAATGTTATTGTCTATAAAAATATCAACAATTATGCCTTAATTAGTTCAAATAGGTCAAAACAAATCTTAAATTAGTATAAAAATAAGGAGATGTGGTATGATTGCCAATTAAAAAATTATTCGCCAGAGTTCCAATTATGATGTAAATGTTATCAACTAAAGGTCATCATACTGCAAAAAATAAAAAAAAAAAACCATTCCCTATAGCATAGCAGGTATCCGAATCCAAAGCTGCAGAGGGATCCTAATCTGAGGAGGAATTAATGAACAATGTGTAACGGTGGGTTAGTTAAATCTGGATCCAAATCCCACAGACCATATTTCCTCTGTGGGAATCGGATCCAAATTTTACTTATCCACTGTTACACATTGTTCATTAATTGCTACTTGTGATTTGGATCCCTCCATGTTTTTGGATCCGGATACCTGGTGTGTATAGTCAGCTATAAAAGGCCCCAACATCACACATTCTAGTAAAGATGGACAAATCGATTGGCCGGAAACTAAAATCATTTTTAAATAACAACATCCAAGGGCTATGTCAATAAACTGATTCATTGATTGTCGTTTGTATTCACATCAATTTGAAATATCTTTATGACAACCACAAACTTAGTTATCATAAGCTACATAACTGCTGAGAAATATTTTCATTAATAATAATATTTGCTGAATTTTGGTTAATTCGAATCTGTCCTTTTAGAAAGTTCAAAATGTAAAAACAGCTGGGTGCATTATGTGCGCAAGGCTTTAATAAAGTTTGAAAAATGTTGTACTTTACAGATGTTGCAACCTAGGTACTCTGTATGCAGTGCATTGAAATAAAAATCTGAATCACACAACAGAACTTGTTTTGTAGTAATACTACACTTCTCTATATTTACAATTTCATTAACATTTCTAAAAATTTCAATTTGAACTATAATACAAGCTACATACTTTCCATATTTTTTATGTGCCAGTTCCATTCCTTTAAGCTCTCCAGGCACAGCAACAGACAGACCTCCCTGCAAATACCAAAAGAACACAATATTGTTTGTAGAGGGTTATCCAATCGTAGTCCGCTTAAATTTCAAAACATTCACCGTGTAATTTCAGAAGAAAAGATTTATGAAAAAAAGAGTCCAAACAGAGTCCCATATATTGCCTCCAGCAGTGTTGATTTTCTTTCAATGAAGATAATTTGTGGATGACCTTTTAAACTTCATTTCTTTTTTTTTATTATAGCATTTAACAAGTAGGTTCAGAGAAGAAAATGAAAATATTACTTATTACAAGATAATGTTTTCCATAAATCTCTGACTGCCTGGATGACTAAATACTCTCTAATTAAACTATGACCAATGTTTGACATTTCATTATCAAGCAGTATCATTTCAGTCCTTTAAAATAATTGCATTTGTTACACTGCTTTAAAAAGGTTTAAAATATACCTTTAATGTTTTGGCTGAATCACCACCAAACATTGTCTTTGTGGCAGCTTTTGGAGCAACTTCTCTAAAATCGTAGACTTTAGCTTCATTTGTTTTATGATCATGAACCATCATGAAACCTCCACTGAAAGTAAATTAAATATGGTTAAAAATACTTCTATACACAATGATAATATCAAGTACACACAAGGTGATTCGTTTAAAAAATCACCACAATAAAATGTCAAAGGGTGGAACCTTTAAAATAATTATTTTAATCATGGACAAATATTTAAAAATTTAATTCCATTTGCAATACTCTTTTAAACAGAAAAGAGTTGACAAATATATATATATATGTTCTTGTGTATAATTTGGAGTTTAGTATGACGTCCATTATCACTGAACTAGTATACATATTTGTTTAGGGGCCAGCTGAAGGACGCCCCCTGGTGAGGGAGTTTCTCTCTGCATTGAAGACCCATTGGTGGCCTTCGGCTGTTGTCTGCTCTATGGTCGGAATGTTGTCTCTTTGACACATTCCCCATTTCCATTCTCAATTTTAATTTTATATATATATATCAGTTTTCATAATTGAATGTTGATAACATAGAACATGTGTATGCAATATCTGTGTTTTAACAAAGCTTTGAAGTAGTTTTTGATTACTCACCCTCCTATCCCAGAACTCTGTGCATTGACCACACCCACACAAAACATTGTTGAGACAGCAGCATCCACAGCATTGCCTCCCTGTTCTAGTATAGTCAACCCCATAACTGAACATTCTGGGACATCTGCTGCTACAGCACCTGAAGCCCCAACCTGCATAAGTTAAAACTCCTTTACATTATTAAAATGTAACAATACAAACACTAATTCCAAAACTGAACTGTAACAAGCATTAACTGCAACCATGGTAAAAATCTTACCATGTAGTTATGTCATTTGTCTAAGTCACACAAAAAAAATAGCTACAATTTTATTATATATATTCATGTAAATTCTTAACATCCAGCATATTTCAAATTAACTTTTTAATATAAAAACAATGGCCTGTGGTGAACATCAAGAACTTTCAGAGTCTATAAAAGTTGTTAATAAATAAAAAAGAAGCTATGTACCGTATAGCGGGTTATTTTCGCAGGTGTAAAATTTCGTGATTTAGGGGCAACAAAGTATACGAAAAATTTTGGCGGTTTTTATTTTGGTGGATTCTTAAAATCCCAATTAAATATTTTGGCGGATACTGAAATTGTTGCATATAAAATATTGAAAAATTGAGAAGCAAGTTAATTGATTTGTTTACCTAAATGACGTCTTATTTATTGATCTTGCCTGGAACTTTGATGTACTCACTAATTAGGTTATAAAATTATCAAGACTGATTTACAACTCTTATGTAATTTGACACTAATTAATAAGGATAATTACCTGATAGAGTACCCTACTCATAATCTATTTGACACTAATTGATAATGATATACACATGTGACAGTCATTTTATAAAATACATGTATGTTCAATGCCCTTTTTGTTTATGTTGTTAAAAATAACCTATACCGTTATTGACCTACCGACCGATGCTTTAGCTATTAGAAAGTAACAAAAGTATGCATTAATTTTCGCAGAATTTATTTTCGTGATTTTCTTTCATCCGCCAAAATAAGCGAAAAAAAAACACCCACGAAAATAACCCGCTATACAGTACTTAACATGTTTTCATATACTTGAAATGTTTGTTCATCGATATATCAATCAATATCTGAGAACTCCCTATCAATATAGACTGAACATATAGACATACTGCAAGGCCCTCAAATGCCATGAGGTAAACTAAAACGGGAAAGACAATTCTAGTTGAGACAGTTTGACCTTAAAAATTCTAACGGAGTACAATAAGGCCCTAAAATGGCCCCTGTTTCTACAATTTCACATTAGGATCTATTGACCTATATCACACTGAAACATAGCTAATATAATGACTTAATAGAAAATATGACCTTAAACTGAAAATTTACGTTCTTGCATTCTATTCATGACGTCACAAATAGCACTCATTTTGATTTTCCACAAAATTTCAATAAAAATGAGTTAATTTCCATTGAATTTTTAGACAGGAAACATAGAGGGCATGTGTCAACAAAAAAAGATCTTTTAAGATAATGTTTGTTATATATATATCGGACTTGAATATTTAGTTTGTCCACACCTGCGCTCTGTTTTGTAGGCCTAAATTTGTTTGAAATTATTATTTAATTAATTAAAATAGAGGCTCTTGTCAAATTTCTCATTTTATTAAATTTTTGGTCTATTTGGGATGTAAAAATCAATGCTTTAAATTAATCTTAGACAACAATAGTTCAAATTAACTGTGTAATATAAATTTTCATCAACTTAAAACATTTTTTAGCTTAATACATTAAACTTCATCATCAGGGCCAAATTGCGAACTTCCTCCTTTCAGATATCGATATGACATGATCTGTTTCAACTTTCTTACCTGTCCATGACCTAGATAGATGGTAAGGAGCAGCGCTATGGTAACCAGTACAGAGAATCCTATTGCTACTCCAACTATAACCTTCAATCCATGGGACGTTTGTCTACAATAATAATGATACCATCGTAAATTTATCAACATTTCATATCATCTAATCTAGATGTAAAAAAGATGGAGTGTTTGCAGGTGATTTTTGTGCTAATCAAACTAAGTAATTTCTTGATGTTAACAATGCATGTACATTTTGTGCATACTTATCATATAGTAGACTTTTCAATTGCAAAATTGACATTGTTTCTGGAACTATGATTCAGCTTACCGTCAGCATAAATTACAGATAGAAAGGTGTTAACAATCAAGTAAAGACGACCTAAGATATGATTTCTAAAAAATACTTCAGGATAATTCAATAACTTTTTCATTTAGTAATGGATACTTCATCGAGTTAATCACACCTGGGTCTACATGTAGGCTTTGATTTTTAACATGGGAATATCTTTCTCTCAGCATTTTGATCTGCCGTACTAAATTAAAATTTGCTGACACCTCATTGCTGTTTGACATGTCTTATAACCAGAGGTTAAGTGTGTCTGTGACAGTGAGTTAGGAATATAGAAAAAAAATCTTTATTCACTAATCATTGTCATAATATTGTAAGGATTATTTCCCTTCTAAATTTTTATTTTTGTGTGGCTACATGAATCATTTTTACAAAAATAAACAATACATCAAATCTAAACTTTGAAGATCATATATAAAATGAAAATGATTCAAATTTATTGCTGGGGAGATATCTAATAAACACTTACAAATCTTTTCCTGAAGCTGACCCTTTCTTGTTATGTGAAAGGGGAGATGTCTCTCCTTTGGATTTCTGTAAGTCAACACTTCCCCTTGCTTCGATCACATGACCACCTTTACCAATAACTGGTCCTTCATCAGGAGAAATTAAGTCATCTTTGTCATCTGTAAAAAAAAAAATTAAATAGTTTTCTTAAAAATTGATTCTGAAATACATGAAATATGTCCCACAGCATTAAAATGGTAGAAGGGTCTATTCCAGTCATACCACTAACTCACTGGCTGATCTTCAACCAAAGGGCAGGCAATAAAACTCTTCTTATTTTTTCATAAAATGTTATATATTCATAAAAGTATTCTCAAAATGTTGATTTTAAAATATTAAAAGCGCTCTCATGTGTACAATTCTTGCCCACATTTTAAGAAATTTATATCATAGGTTTATATTAGCAATATCTTTGACACTTGCGAAAATAAATGCTGATCAAATAGGTTTATGCCCTTGGAAATATTAATTATAGTGGAAATGACATTTAATTTGCTCTGAAGCATTCATTTCTCTAAGATATTTATCAACAGTATTAAAGACCAAAAAAAGTGTATTTTTTAGTTATTGCCCTTGATCCTTGGATACATAAAATATGTGCAATGTGGGGGACATTGGAACACTGTTCTTTTATTAATGTGAATAATGAGATTGAGTGAGTATACCAATAATAGGAACTAGTACTCTGATATCAGATACAATCGCAATAATTAATCTTGCATTTTGTACATTTCAAAAATGGCAATAACAAATGCATGCAATAATTTCTGAATTACAGTTCACTGAATTTCCAGCTATATAAGTCATAATAAGGGTTAATAACTCTGTTGCTACAGATCAGCTGGTAAAGGGTCAATAATTTTTTACATCTAATTATGTGCACTTTCATGGACTTTATCTCTACACTAGGTCAAATTTTGTTAAAAATTGTGTCAAATAAAATTACAAAAAAAATATAATTAAATATACCAAAATCATTTGCATTGACATGATTGAGTTCGTTATAATTCTTTTTGATCAAATGAAAAATTTTACCAACAGAAAATTAATAAATTGATGTACTTTACAAATGATATATAATATATAAAAACATGAAAAATAAATATGTTACAACATATTTTAAAACATATGTTAAAACATTAAGAAGCTGAAAATATAAATATTCATTTATTTTCATTATCATTGTTCTGATATTTTATTTTAAAGTGTTGTGACAGAATTTGATATTTGGAAGAAATAAATTATATTGTTTCCCAAGGCTCAAATATGACATATATTACATAAAAACTCTGGAAATAACTTTGTTCAGGGGATGATTAGAACAAGTATTGGTAATTTTGTTTGGCATACGTTTCCTGTGTACTACAGGTACCCGAATAATTGTATAATGTAGACTTGTATCTACCTGTCTGTAACTCGTCAGGATTACCTGTGTTTTACATTTATCAGAGACATATATATACACATGTACATATATGTCTGTGCCTTTCTGTATTGTAATGTAGGTGTTATTATATGTATGGACTGTAACAAAATTATTTCTTTTGCATCCAAAAAAGCTGCTGTAAAAGTAATCATGGTCATAACATGCAACCTGCAGATATTTTCAAATAAATTCATGATTTTAAATCGATCAGGGACATAATTTGCCAATGAATTTAAATTTAAATAAACAGCTGCGCCATGAGCGCATGATATGCCCGTCGTCTTGTGTGTGAATTTTTATGCAATAAGCATAAATAGTTTCTGACATACGGCATGACATGCGAAAACCCCCCTTTTTTTTTTACAAAAAACTCAATATCTCTAAAATAAAATTTTGAATCAAAACCAAAAAGTATACAGATCTTTAGATTAATATAACTAAGAAGTGTTTAAAATTTTAAGCAATAATCATTGATCGTTTTTGAGATACGGCGCGACATGTGAAAAACCCCTCCCCTTTTTTTACAAAATACTCAATAACTCAAAAATAAAATTTTGAATCATCACCAAAAAGTATACAGATCTTCAGGTTAATATAACTAAGAAGTGTGTAAAGTTTTAAGCAATAATCATAAACTGTTTTTGAGAAACGGCGCGACATGTGAAAAACCCCTCCCCCTTTTTTAACAAAATACTCAATATCTCTAAAATAAAATTTTGAATCATCACCAAAAAGTATACAGATCTTAAGATTAATATAACTAAGAAGTGTGTAAAGTTTTAAGCAATAATCATAAATTCTTTTTGAGATACGGCGCGACATGTGAAAAAAAACACACACCTGTTTTAGTTACTAAGTCCCGTAACTCAAAAAGTTTTAATCTTATTTTCACCAAAAAGTATACAGATCGTTTGACCATCATAAGAAACAACTATATTAAGTTTCATGAAATTTGGATAAGTCATTCTCAAGTTACGGTGCGACATGTTTACGCCGGACAGACAGACGGACAGACAGACGGACGGACGCCGGACATTTGTATACCATAATACGTCCCGTCAAAAATTTGACAGGCGTATAAAAATAGGATGAATCGCAAATAAAGTTTATTAAAAAGCCTATGCAATTTCAATGAGAAAAATTTACTGTAGATGGTGGATTGCAATTGCTACGTCATTGAAGTCATGTGATGTCTTACTTAGTTGGATATGGTTTGGGATTTACTACATCACATATATTAATTTCCAGTACAAAAAAAACATATTTTTGATTGGTGAAAATTGCAGACCTTGCAAGAATCCCATTTACCATATATACCGATAGTTAACCTAATACTCATAATATATATATATATATATATACAGATATAGCATGTATACAGTCAGGGGAATTACTGAAATAAGTGACTTATAAAATCACTTATTTATAGGTACCAGTCTTGTATTACAACTCCAGTTTCCGGTGCATGTCAAAACATGGAGGGAAATAAAATAGTCCATTTTTTTCGGAATTTTTTTCTGGACTCAATTTTTTCTGTTTGATTAAAAGTTTATACTGAATTGAAACATATATATAGATTTAAAAAAAATCTTGCATCTTTTTGGGGATGTCAATCCAGGAATGTGGAAGGATATCATGTTTACTGGAAGTGGTGCGGCCTAGTAAAAACAGCAAACAGAAAGTAGAAAAAAATAGTTTTGACTTCAGGGTTACATAACTTTTATTCTTGTGGCATGACCCACTTTTTTTTTCGATTAAATCACAATTTCACATTAGTACATACATGATATGAACATGAAAAAAAATTTCTATGTAGCATTTTTTATTTTTTTATTTTCAAAGATCAGCTGTTTAGCATGTAAACCTATGGAGCAGTCAATTACAAGACTGCAACCTCAAGTAGCAAATTTGAAATTTTGTCACAAATTGTGATTTTGTAGGTTTACCAAAATTTTAAACATATAGGTTTACCGTATATTATATCTTATTATTAGTAAAATTGGAAAAAATCAACCTTTTTCTTCTTTTTAATAGCAAGGTTTATGCCTTTGATGCAATCATTTAGCTGTAAATTCTATATTTGTTGAAAAATGCTATAATGAAGGCTTTACATAATGAACTGATACTTTCTTTACAGATTTTTTCCAGCAGTAGAAGTAATTTTCCTGTAAAATTCAAGGTTTCATCTTACAGATTATGTAATAAAATTTTACTGTTCGTGATCAAAATTTCACTGTTCGGGGGGTGTTGAAATTAGTGGGGGTAGTAAATTAATAATACTTAAAGAAGTGTTTTTTTGTAAGAAAAGAGAGGTATGATACTTAAACAAGTGATTTTCATGTCATTATCCCAGATTCGGTACAAGGTTATCACCTGACATGACCGGTCATCTTATCAACACAGATGTTGGTTCTGATAATTTTAGCAACATAAAATTCTAGTCCCTGGATCATTAGTATTATATATTTAAAGCTACAATAAAATTAAATCACTTAGTCTAGTGATTTATTTGTACTACTTAAATAGGTGATTATTAAAGAAAGACAACTCTTACTTCCAACATTTGTGGACAAAATGTTACTTGAATCAGTGATTAAAAATCACTCATTTAAGTAAGTCCCCTGATTGGTATAGGGACCCCAAAAGTAAAAGAAGGCTCATTTAATAAATTTAATAAGTGTGATCTAATTTTCGTTGTCAGGAAACCGGCAAGATTAGTAAATTTGAAGTATATGTAATGACTGTAACCAACTGTGATCTATCTCACTAATTAGCGACAAGAAGAATTTTAGCGACAAGAAGCGTCAAGAAGCGACAAGAAGAATAAATTTAGCGACAAGAAGAATAAATTTTGCGACAAGAAGACTATTTAGCGACAACAAAACTTAATAAAAATATTATTAAAATAAATATATTAAAAAAATATGCATTGACATTTTTATTTTAATATACGGAAAGTAAAGTGATTTTCATTTTTTTTTTTAAATATATTGATAGATAATGATAAATATAGAAATTTCCCTGTCATATTAATTAATATTAAGTAGTATGATATTAATTTTTACATGTTCTTGTGTTTTAGAACAATAATATATTTATTTTATAAATTTTTTAACACTCTCTTTGTCTAAAATATAATAAACTGACTGCATGCAAAATGCATTATACGTGAATCAGTGTCCAGAAAAGATAATGTTGACCCCTAATGTTACTAAAACGTGAATATTTTATTTGGGTATTGACTTATCAAACTATACGCATGATGTTTATGCATAGTTTAAAGTTGATTGAAGATTAAAGGTAATTAAAGACAACGTTGAGTGTTCAACAGTTGCTCACTATTTACAATTATTGTATATTCTGGTGCGTGTAGTTGTATAGTTTGACGCGTGTACAAAGTTATAGGTGTTAATTGAATGTTATTGTAGCAATACAATAAGGGACACACGTCCTTTACTCCAACCATGATTCTAATGTTCATCCTTAAGCGTCATTATGCATCTATGAAAAGAAGTAATTCTTACAAGAAAATAATCAGCTGGTTCGAAAAAAATGCCTGGCCATTCTCTTGAAAACATGAATAAAGCAATAGCAGAATTACATAGGTACCTATCCTATTAACAAACAAAATATTGCTGATGATATACGCAAGCTGTCATCAATATTAATATATTAATTCTTTGAAACAAATTGTTCAGATCACAGGCAAACCTCCAAATGTTATCTTGACTCATTAATTTCTTCATCTATCAATATAATAAAAAAAAAAATGAAAATCTCTTTATTGCTGTCAATGCATATTTTTTTTATCTTTATTGCTGTCAATGCATATTTTTTTTAATATATTTATTCTAATAATATTTTTTTTTAAGTTTTCTTGTCGCTAAATTTATTCTTCTTGTCGCTAATTAGTGAGACCCACTGTGATTGAGGTTGCACGTTCTCGAAAAAGTGTTGCAAAGGACCAACACAATTTCGCTATTTTCAATAGAAATAGTAGTGAGGAACAGCAGATTTTCTTGAATGACCATAAGGGACAAAAAAGATTTCGAGAACTCTGAGGTTCTAAGATAAGTTTTGTGCCATATAATTTTTTATCTATCTTGTCTATCTGTCTATATTTTTTCATAATTTTGTTGTCTCTCGATGTCTTTGGACCATGACTGGTTGTATTCAAAATAAATGAAAAGTACCGTCAACTGTAAACGCATTTCCATCAAAATCTTTTGATAATTCCATTAATTAAGCCGTAAAAATATAGTTTGTAGCTTATTTTGTTTTTGACAGGAGATGGTGAGTTGTTTCCCTTATTATGGATGTATACTTCCGGAATTGTATAACGAGACTAATAACCATATACAGTTTCAGTTCAAGAACACGTGAAAAGTACCAAATATCTCGTTCTTTTGTAAGCAAAAAAGGTTTAGAAATGTGCTGAAATATACGGAAGCGTATTAGCGTGAAAAACGTTCATATCTAATATATAGGAGTTAACACAATACAATACAATACAATATGATACCATAGATATTATAGCTATTATATCTATGATGATACAAAATACAATACAATACAATACAATACAATACAATACAATACAATACAATACAATACAATACAATACAATACAATACAATACAATACAATACAATACAATACAATACAATACAATACAATACAATACAATACAATACAATACAATACAATACAATACAATACAATACAATACAATGTTCAAGCATCGCGATGTTCATCACAGTACCAATCTTCTGAAACTCCTGAACATGTCTGATGAACCCACTTAGTACAGCTGATCCGTCCTCTTTTCGCTTCACATCCAATCATGTTCTCAAAAACATCTGGTTTACCACACTGACAACTACACTCAATTCTTCTGGCAAAAATCCTAACAAAGTCTGTACTTGATGTTGTATTTTGAGGAAATGGTGTAAAATGTCCTTTTTCCAAACACGATATTAAATGTGGTCGCATGTATTTCTCAATAAACTTCGTACGTCTTTGAGTGTTGAGTTTTTCTTTAAGACAATATTCCACCATGTTGGCAATAGCATAAACACCACAGTCATATCCATTTGTTTGTTGTTGAACATCAGGTAATTTAACAAGCAAGTTCTTTTTTCCATGAGAATAAATAGCTGATAACTGAATTTCTGTCGATGGTGTTAATCTGAAATCTTTACTGTAACTATCTAACACATAAACGGCACTATCCTTTTTAGTCTGAAGAGATGTAATCCAATGAGATTTTCCGGTATGGTGAATTTGCACACATGGTGTATCTTGACTGGTGAATGTCCCGAAATTTTCTGTCCAACACTGTTTATCTTCATCAAAAAGAGGCGCTAAACCTGTTGATTGAAATCCAGATATAATTGGAAATTGTTTCGCTAGCATATCATGCGCACATTTATAATTTCGGAACATAGCCATGAATTATTCTCCAACATAAGTTTGTGTTCTGTATTTAAACTTGCAAACCAAGGTGTATGGTTTATACTTTTAGCGTCTGTTGTTAATTTACGCTTTTTCATCGGAAGTCGGCAGGTACTCTTCGGTGACACGGACGGCGATATAAGCTGTATTTCATCCTCATCCTCCGAAAATCGCAATTTCTTTCCTTGTTTAGGTGTATCACAAGTGTTCATATCCTGTTCCTTACATTTGAATTTATTTTTTTTCTTCGATTTAGGTGTTTCCGTTGTGGACGATTGTTTTCCTGGTGTTTCTGGCATATCGATATTTTCCACTATTTCTGAATCCGGCGCTGGTAAAACTTCGGTGTTATCATAATCATGTTGTATCATAGAAAAATTGAAACGGTATATCCTCTTCAGTGTTAACATCCAGCAATTGGTTCACTATCGATATCATCTCCGGTAAGGCTATTATAGCAGTCAAGTCCGGGAACACAGTAATTTCGTGAATATATCCCTCCATGTGGTAAGCCAACAACATAAGATTGTAAATATCATCTTTGCCTATTCTCTTCTGTTCATTCACTTTTCGCACAATGTTTTCCACTTGTTTCACATTTCTTGCATTTAAAACACCTTGTTGCACACCAGGAATATCACTATTTGTAATGTTATCTCTATACACATCCATAGCGGTTTTAAGACCAGAACTAACTTCTTTTTCTATTGTTTGCAACACTGATGGAGCAGTTCGAATAAATTCCGGTGGATTAATCTTGTTTTTCACATTCCCATGAGAAAGAGGGGTATACACAGTTTCGTCACCTTCGTAATGCACTAACACTAAGTTCCTGTTATCTTTAAAGTTATATGCCGTTCTCTTAAATTGTAATGAACCAACTGCTCTATTCCTGCCTCGACCTTCTATTTGTCCTTTAGAACCGGGTAGTCTTATCTTGTAGAACTTTTTCTCTAACACAACACTATTAATTGTCACTGATTTACTCCCATAATGAAGCCACTGGTATTGGTCACACTTCCAATCATCATGGTTATCGGATCTTATCAAATATACCTCGTTTCCCTTAGGCTTTGCTGGTGGCATGTCGGATGTACGTGATGTATCTGGATCAGTTAAAATATCCACAATGGCACTCTGATGAATATGATCTGTAACTGAATAAACTGTCACACCACAACCAATTAAAACGGGAGGAGTGTTAGCAATAGGAGTGGTGGTAACTGGTGAGTTAACAGAAGGAGTGGTAGCAATAGTAGTGGTGGTAACTGGGGAGTTAACTGACGGAGTGTTATCAGTAGGAGTGGTGGTGGTAACTGGTGAGTTAACTGAAGGAGTGTTAGCAATAGGAGTGGTGGTAACTAGTGAGTTAACTGAAGGAGTGTTAGCAATACTATACCGTAACTATACCGTAACTGCATCAAAAGCTTACCCTGAATGTTGGTACCACTGCCATTCCAACCAATACCCCAGAAAGTGTCTGCTAGACGGTTAAAAGTGGAGGTAGGCAAGCGGTTAGAAGTGGGTGAGCGGTTGGAAGTGGAGGTAGGCAAGCGGTTAGAAGTGGAGGTAGACAAGCGGTTAGAAGTGGAGGTAGGCAAGCGGTTAGAAGTGGAAGTAGGCAAGCGGTTAGAAGTGGAGGTAGGCAAGCGGTTAGAAGTGGAGGTAGACAAGCGGTAAGAAGTGGAAGTGGGTGAGCGGCTAGAAGTGGAGGTAGGTGCGACACAAACAGGATTTGGTGAGATGGTACATGCTGGAACAGATGAGGACGTGGTGGTAGGAACATGCACAGTGTTAGAGGTAGATGAAGTGTTAATAAGAGAAGATACCAGATAACATACCCGTGGAAGAGCAGGCCACTCTTCAATCACCTGAATACCTGTTGAAGTTAGTACTGGTTTTGGTGTTGGTGTTGGTATCGGTAAAGTGAGTAGTGCTGTTCGGTACAGTGATTGGTCTACAGCTGGTTCAGTTGGGTCAGGCATTGGTGTAGGTGCTTTTGGTGTTGGCGTTGGTGTTGACGTTGGTGTTGACGTTGGTAGGTCCCAGATGCTGTCATGAGTATCCTTGGTTTTGCGTAGATGACGAATGGCGCTCTCGATGTCTTTCACCACAGTTGATGTACCACGGTAGCTTAGATGAAGACCATCTCGACTGAGTAGGTGTCTCTGGATAGTACCTTTCTGGGCGAATGACGGGTGACCAACGTAGTGGAGTCTTGGAACTCGGGTAGCTAGTAACTGTAGTTTGGTATTGAGTAGCCGAGCTCTCTGGTTGAGTTCCGTTAAGAAGTTGGTGCGCAGAAGTGCCCCTGGGAATTGGTTGTCGGCTCTAGGTAGGACTCCAGATATGATGATGTCTGCTGTTGGGTTGCTGTGCCAAATGTCTGATGTCAGTTGTTGGTATTTCCTGAGTAGAGTCTTTACTGATGAACCACGGGAGAGGTCGTTGGCGCCAACGTGAAGTACCACGGTGTTGTAGTTGTCGATGGTTGGTTGCAGTTCGTTGAACATCTGGTCAATACGAAAACCTGAATAAGAAAGCACATTAGTTTCAGATAAAGATAAATATTGATTAAAATACTTGGCCTGGGAATGGCCAGCAATCAGCACTGGAAATGAAGACACGATTAGAATCAAGTAATATGAAACAAAAGCACAAAAAATATATTTACAATTTTCTACAATTAATTACACTAAACAAAAGCAAGGAGATTTATATACAAAGAAAAATAGCACTAAAGCAATATATCAATTCGAATAAAAAGCACTGAGGTTGTATGTTTTTTTTTTTTTTTTTTTTTTTTTTTTTTTTTTTTTTTTTTTTTTTTTTTTTTTTTTTTTTTTTTTTTTTTTCTCTTTTTTTTTTTTTTTTTTCTTAAATGAGCACTCAGACTGAAGGGTTTAGAAATTAATTTTAACACAATAATCACAATATGACTTAAGTTATAATTACAAAAGTAATAATTAGTATAGAATATTAATAATTAAGAGTTGTTATAGAGTGTTGAACATATATGCAAAGAAAGAAGCTGGGTTTGGGCTTAACTTATTACCGGATTTCCAGAGAGTTACCATTAGCTATGTTTTAACCAAATAATTAGAAATAATGTATTCAAAATATTATTAGGATACAGGCCTCAACCTTCCTTCTCATGTTGGTGGAAGAGGTATATGTGGCCAAATTATGTCATCATTGTGCTCCGAACATTAAGAGTATTTTATTGAAAAAAATATAACATATACACACAAATTATAATAAATAAGTATCATACTTCACTAAATTAAATTATTTTTATCTAAGAATATATCTCTATTTCTATGAAATGTAGTGTTAAGAGTATGAATTAAACCACCGGAATTGATAATATAACTAATTTGATAAACTGAATAAACATATGCATATATTGATGGGAAAAGTTCCCATGGTATCTTAAATAACAAACAGTTTAATTCATTTAAAACAAAAGTTTCATCATTTATTTCTATTCTAATGAAGTCATTTATATATTTTCGAAATAGTCTTAATTTGTTACAATGTAGCAGTAAATGCTTTAAGGTTTCATTTTCCGAGTTACAGAAATAGCATTTCGGAGAAACGTTACTATAATTTCTTCTTTTTTGATTATCTTTAGTAGGAAGAGCATTATGCACAACTCTATAAATAAAATCTTGCTGGTAATTGCTTGTGATATTTCTAATATTACACCATATATTTGTGAAATCGACATAGCTGTACTTTATTTCAATTTTATGTTTATGATTATCTATTTCGAGAATTTTCTTATAAATATTTTTGGGGTTGAAACTTTGTAGGTCAATTTTATTCTTATAATTCATTAAGAGAACTTTTA